GATAGGCACTGAAATAATGAATAAGAGCGAAATTCTTATCAATGAAACTCTAACGATCGTTCCGTCGCTTTTTTAAAACTGACAGACGTTAAAGACATCAGATTTAGATCTAAGAATCATGTAGTAGACTCTGCCCACATACTCCGTTTAATTCCTTCACATCTTCATGAAAAAGAGTCGTAACGTTTACTTATTGATCTTTCATTTAAAAATATAATAAATAAATGAATAAATAAATAGGTTTCTGAGAGTCCTGAGATAAAAGTTGGAGTGAATAAAAATTAACGTACAGTAATTTATATTGTTTATTGACCTTTTAACTCCCAAGATCTGATCATTAATTCTCCCCTCTAGTTGCTACACATTTCCTTGTAAATTTGTAACGAGAATTTGGTGTTAGATCGAGAAAACAAGTTCTATCTGTTAAGTTTGAGTATTCTCGTTAATTGTTCGCTGGATATTGTATAGATGTTAAGGGAGAAGTTACGTATTAATCATTTCTAGGGGAACAAGGGTTACATAGGCTAACGCTTTGTCTGTCTCATCTTTGGGATCACGAGCAAAAACCAATAAGGACACCAACAGTAAATCAAAAATCCATCATTTTAGAATAAGTGGAATACTTATGCCAGTACTTCACCTGAAACTTGTTGGTAACAACATGATTTCGAGTGCAATTTGGTGTTAATAAGCAAGAGAAAGTTTTTAAAAGATAAAATGCAATTTTTAGTCTTTGAAAAATTTACAAGCGCTTATTTAAACCAAATAACACGATAATCGTGTTATTACTTGTTAATAATTCACATGAAAAACGCATCGCGTGCGCGCTATTTGTAATTTGCACTTATGTTACATGAAAAATGTAATTGGACTCGTTTTCCGTCAATCAGACGCGCGTATTTTTTCCATGTATATTATGAACTTAATAAATGAATACCACACATTCTATTCTACAGTCACGCACCTTACTGGACCATTTCTTTGCTCTACAGGCCAGAGGTTAATTTCGACCGACAACTCCGAGACCTCCATATTAGTCCACTGAGGTACAAATGGGGCCATTGGAGCTACAGAGGAAAATTTTGTACTAGGTGGGTAAAATTATCACAATTTTCTATAGAGAAAAGATGCATCCATCCATAATGTAGCTTTAGACTGGAAAATACCCGATGAAAGCACGTAACAATACTTGGAACAGTTCGGGGAGAATATCAATACAAGTCCTCGGTCTTTCTTTTATGTCT